TAGGAGTAGAGTTGTGGACTCATGTGGCAAGGGCCCCTCCCAATTTAGCAGAGACTGATAGGTGTCCAAGTTGGTGGGACCATTTTACATTTCTGAGAGTAGTGAAGGAGCATTCCAGATGCCCCACATCCTCGTCAACACTTGTTATTGTTGGGCTGAATTTAGCCCTTTTATTGGATGCATAGTGGTGTCTTGTGAGGAGTTCAATGTGCATTTCTTTTTTTGGTGGGGGTACTGGGGATTGAACTCGGGTCCTTGAGCTTGCAAGGCAGGCCACTGAATGGCTGAGCTAAATCCCTGGCCCTAAATGTGCATTTCTTTAAAGACTGTTGAAGTTGAGGCTCTTATACTTACTGGATATACTGTTTTGTGATGTGTTTATTTCACACTGTTGCCTATTTCTCTGTGGGCTCTCACTGCTTGTTCATTTGGAGATGTTCTTTATGTATGTGGGTAGAATTCCTCTGTTTGATTCATTTCCTTCCAATGCTTTTACCTGTCCTGTGGTTTGCCTCTTCAGGCTCTTCATGGTATCTTCTGTTAAGTAGAAATTTTTATTTTAAGGAAGTCCAAATTGTCAAATTTTCCTGGGAAACCATATTCTGACCTTTATTCCTTTAGTGGGAATAAAGAAAAGAATACATTGTGCAAAAGAAAATCAGGGTATCCTTAAGCTACATTCCCTGACCTCTTCTGTCACTTTGGTGCCAGAAAAACAGGCCAGTGGGATGAGAGGACATCCATGGAAGTGATAGGAACCCAAGGCTCACTGCAGCTCAGAGTTGAGCCCTAGCAGCCCTCCTGCAGACAATGCATGCCAATTCCTTGGATTTTAACCTGGAGAGTGGGCTAACACTCACCTCTGAGGTTGACCGAGAGACCTTGATGCCATTATGGCTAAGGGTATCTATCCATTCACTCAGTGTTTCTGAGTGGCTCTCCACACCAGTCCCAGAGAAGGAACATAGCAAGTACTTCACTGATAATTAGCCCAGACAGATAGCAGAGAGACTTGGAAGAAGGGACACAATGACTCTATATTCTTTTCTTCTGGGCAGTGCTGGGGTGGGGGCAGTCATGCCCATCCCAGCTTTGGTGCCACTGTCCCCCGAGCAAGTAAATAGAGCAAAGGCTCAGACCTGTGCTGCTAGGGGAGGTACCTCTGGTCTCAGCAGCCAGCCTCTGGGTACCAACGAGGCAGTGAAAACAGCCACACATTCCTTAAAAGTCTAAATCAACAGCCATCACCTCCCCAGCAGGATAAGGTATGGCCCAGATCTGGATGGACAGTCCAGGTAGGTGCATAGGTGGGGCAGAAGGTAGCCTGTGGGACACACAGTCCCCCACTTAGGGGTCCAGGCTTCAGAGGGTGGGACTTTTTGCTAATTTATCTAATCCTCATTAAGCCCATTTTGCAGATAAGAACACCGAGGATCAACTAGAGTCAGTGACTTGTCTGACAGCACCGTGAGTGGCAGAGATGGGATGAGAACTAAATTGGACAACTCTTCCTTCTACTCAGGGCTGACCCAGACCATGAAAAAATCATTTTCTCAGCACCCTAACCAAACCTGGTACCCAAGCTGAAACCTAGGACAGCCCATGCCTAGAGAATGATGTGAAGAGAACTGTACTGGGTCCCTCCTGCCAAACAAAGAATTACTCTGCACAGAGGAGAAACACACCCGTACCTTTCACGATTTAGTGGGTACATGCATATTATTAAAGGTGCTGCACTGGTGCTGGCAAAGAATCTACTTTCTTTACTCCTCAGGAGCATGCAGTCAGGTCAGCAGAGCAGCAGCAAGCAAGAGACAGACCCTACTGCTGGGCTGGTGGAGAGAAAATGCAGAAGGGGCTGGGGAGGAGCGGGTGCCCAGGCAAGGGGCACTGAGCTCAAGCTTACCAGCTCTGGTGCACCCTGGAACCTCCTTATCAGCGTGACAAAACCTGTGGCCGAGGCTTTGTGTACCAAGCTGGGTACCAGCATGGGCTGCCCTCCAAACCTAATCCCCAGTGCATGCTTGGCTTATGAGGAGTCAACTGGGGGACCTGGTGCCCAGTGTCCAGCCCCTGGCTGCCTGGGCTGCACAGCTTTCTTGGTCCCTCTCCCCTGCTGGTGCTAGCACCAGCATCTGGCAGTGGCTGTCGTCCTGGAAGCCCCAAGTGGATCCTGGTTGCTCAGCCCGGAGACAAACATCCTCAGGGCTGTTCCCTAGCAACCCACACTGCTCCAGAGCTGCAGGTCCACGCAAAAGCTCTCCCATCCATTTGCAACCAGGCGTTTGGTTTTAGGTGCTCTGGGACACTTCCTAATGTCCCTTCAATGATCCACGAAGCCATTTGCTTATAAAATCTGCCACGCGCCTCCCTCCTCCTGCCCCCACCCCTGCCCTTCCGCCAGCACTGAGCGCAGTGAACCCTCTGCGGCAGATGCAACCAATGGAACCCTGGGCGGCTTGTCGAACAAAGCCCTCGTTCCACAGTGGTGGCAGCAGCGTGGGGCGACTTCCCTTGTGGTGATGCTGCTGCCCACTGTGGGCTGTGCTGGGAGGGGGGTGGAGAGATGGCTGGGATCCAGAAGACGAGAAGCAAACAAGCCCAGCACCAGGCAGAGGTGGAGGAGGGGGGAGGAGGAGAAGATAGGGGAGAGGAGGAGGTCGGGGAGGAGAGGGAGGGAGGAGGAGAGGCCACTTCATTTATTTATTATGATGCCTGTTGTGGTGTTGGTCTCATGTGTGGGGAGCAGACTGTATTTTATGTTTTAATCCTCCAAGCTGTGTGTGTGGGCTGGGGATAATTACATTGAAAAATGTGTCTAATATGCGGAAGGTTCTTTTTGTGGGGAATGGGAATGCTCTGGCGGAAAATCTTCCTCATGGTAACTGGTACCTTTTCCGTCAGCCTCTCAGAAGGTGCCAGGAATTGGGAACGTGGTGAAAGCTTGGGGTGGCCCCCCAGCCCGGCCAGGGCTCCTCAGGTGTGGGGAGGGAGGGCCGACACACTCCCCTTGCCTGGCCTTGCTTGCCCACAGCCTCCGGGGGTGACAGGCAGGATACAAATGGGAGGCCTGATTGCTTTCTTGGCCACAGCCTTGGGCCCAGCCGCTGAAGAATGCAAGAGGGAGGTGACAGGCGGGCTGCTAGGAGACAGAGCAATGGTGTGCACGTGTCTGTGGGAGGCACCCTTGCACACGTGTGCACATGCATACAGATGGCCACACAGACCCGGCCCAGTCTGCCCACCCACACGTACATGGGCACATCCACACTCACACCCACTCATGCACACACCAGTGCCTTCCCATGGAACCCAAAAGTGCACGCACACATTCATGTGCTCACACGTCCCCGTACACACCTCTATGCTCTGATTTACCAGCAACTCCCCCAGCCACGTGTCCACCACTGCTTTACACATTTTACCCATTGTTTACATAGGCGCGAGTACTGTCTTCCATTCTCTCCTGCACACACACCTTGGCATGTTTGGACACACATAGTCACACACACTGTGGCTTGTCGGCGCTGACAAGTGTCAAGTGGTATCTGAAGTATTGCCAGTGACGTTTTTATTTGGAATTTTAAAAAAAAAACTGATATCTGCCATCCTTTTAAAAGGCCAGCAAAAACAAAACAAAAAAATCCATAACCCTGACACACTAAATGTTTGTTTTTTCGCATACATGCCTTGATGGCTGCACTGCTCCCTTAATCCAAGCCACATGTGAGTGTGCAAACTTTCCTTTGGCTCAGGAGGGCGGCTGATTTGATGCCTGTTTACTCAAAAACTGCAGATCCAGTGGAAAAAAATGCCCAGCCTACTGTGATGCCAATTAGTCTCTCTTCCCACGGCGGGCCAGCGTCCCCGCAGGAGGAAATCCGTGGAGCAGACAGCGAGGTCCTCGGAAAGCCCAGCTGTGATGAATAGGACTTCGGGCTCCCCTGGGACATGGCTGGTTATTTTGTAGGAAATTGAATTTCTTGGTAAGTTAGAAGACGTGCTAATGAGTACTAATGTAGGGCCAGGGAGGGAGCTGAAGGTGGGCTCCGGCCTGGGCATTGGCTGGGTCAGCTTGCTCTTCTGCCTCTGACCCCAGATCCTCCTGTCACCCTCCTTCTCTTCCCTCTGGTATGATTTTCCACCCAGTAGCGTGTTGTTCTCCCCGGCCCTGTCCAGGTCCTCCTGTCTCCCCTGAAGCTATGTTCCCCCGCAAACTGCCCTCCCTGCCTCTGGCAAACCTTTGGTGGGCAGAAGCAGCCAAGACAACCTGCAGCCTGCAGGATCAGGCTAGAATCCCTCGGCCCCTTCTCTGAGGGTGGTTGCCGAGTGACCTCTGCTTCTCCCAGCCCCCTGTGCTGTGCTCTGGGCATGGGACAGTGTTCCCTGTGCTCAGTCTGCTCCTGGCTTAGGCCAACCCACTGGGCGTCTGCAGAAGCCTCTGTGCCTCGGGTGCACGGCTGCGGTCAGAGCAGGGCTGAGTCAGGAGGGCGGACATCCAGGGCCTTGAGCCCAAGGTTTCCTGGATCTGCTGAGCTGTGTCACCTCTATCCATGCCACTTCACCTGTGCCGACTGTCCTCAGATTCTCCGGACATGCCCTGTGGCAGACAGGGCCTTTGGACTGGCTGCTTCCGCTCCCAGGGAAGTTCTCCACGGGAATCTCAGCATGGCTCACTTCCCACCTTGCTAGGTCACTCCAGAAATATCCCTGGTCCCCAGCCTCCCCTACCCCACTTCTCTGTAGCCTTTGCCGACTCCTGACCCGCTTGTACACGTCCCCAATGGTGAGCTTTAGGAAGACACTCGCCAGGGCTGCTTTGGTCCCTGCCACTGAGGCTCCTGCACCAACCCAAGACCACGTGTGGGGAGCTACTCCACAGGTGCCTGCTGGGAAGTGAAGGGGAGGAACATCAGGCCCACCTGGCCTTCCCACCCCTTCCCCAGGATGTCCTCCTCTGGTTCAGCTCAGGCCATCACAAGCAGCCCAACTTTTCTATTTCTATTTTCAAAAGCATTTTAATTGTTCATCTTTATGGAGTAAATGTGATGTTTATGTACACACTGTGTTATGATCCGATCAGGGTAATTAGCATATCCATCACCTCATACGTTTATCATTTCTCTGTGGGTAGAGCATTCAAAACCCCTCTTCTGGCTGCTCTGAAATGCACAGTACATTATTGTGAACTGTGGTCACCCTACTATGCAATAAAATACCAGAACTTATTTCTCTGGTCTCTGGACTTCTCTTTCTTTGAAGTCTGAACATGTGTTGAGAGGCCTTGCTGCATATTGACTCAGATTACACACCCAGATTGTTCTAACTGAATATACATCAGCAATTTCTCATGGGATTTTAAGTATTTTACGTGCAGTCTCTGATTTGCTAGTGACAAAGCTTCAAGGAAGGAGGCAGTATTGGCCCCATTGGACAGGTGAGCAAACTGAGGCTCAGAGAGGCAAAGTGACTCAGCTGGGTCACATAGACTCCTGCTGCCTGTGGTCCTTCTCTGTACCTATCACAGTTTCCTGAGGGCAGTGTCCTCTGCCCTTAGCTGGCACCCGGCTCTTTATTATTCTTCTAGGCCAAGTCTGATTGTATGAACCCTAAGAGAGAAAGTCCTCTGTCAACCAAGAGAACATCAGGACACCAGCACACAGAGAGGGTTAACACCAGCAAGTGTGGTCTCTAACCCAGCCTTGTGACTTCAGGTGTATCTTGTACCCTCTGGGGCTCTGTATCCACATCTATAAAATGGATTGAACACCTCCTTGCAGGGAGTTCTGAAATACATAGCACGGTTGCTTTGTTCTAATCCCCAATAATCTTTCTATAAGCAATTCAGGATCTCCCAACTCAGGGAAGTCAAAAGTAAGTCTCCCCAGGAAACCCTTTCACTGTTGCCCAAGATCACATTTGCATTATTAGGTGGCTCCCTTGCCCTGTGGGCCCCTGGTGTTACCAGGCCACTAAAAATGTCACAAGTCGGCCCCCAGAAATTGCCCTATAGCACAGAGGACTCCCTCACACTGGACTCCCCAACACTGGAGTTGGCTGCTGGGTCCACCTGGAGAATCCCAACTGTGTCCCCAAAAAGGAGTATGTGGGAGGTGATGGGGTGGCAATAAGACCTATGCAGAAGGAGGGGAACCTGGGACCACTGCAGGCTGGAGGCGTGGAGCAAAAGCCAGGAAAACTTGCCCCAGGGCAGGGTAGGGGAAGGCCAATGAGACCCCCGCAAGGAGAAGGTGCAAGGACTCAGAATGCAAGCTAGGGGCAAATGCACACTTTCCAGCCTCATCCCAGATCCTGGGGACATTTGTACACGGCAGCCTGCAGCCCTGAGCTTGGATCCCGGGGACATTTCCACCTCGTGGCAGCCCACAGCCACTGTGGAGCAAACAAAGCCAGAGGTGCTGCTGTAGACATGGCACTGCGGCTGGGAAACAGGGGCCGTCTGTACCTTTCAATGCTGCCGTCTCATTAATCTTGTACCTCTGCAGCCCTTCTGAAGAGTGCAGTCACAGCGGCTCATTCATTATGGCTCTAATAACAGCGGCGGGCCCGAGAGCACCAGGCTGCAGAGGAGCCGGCCTCTGCAGCTGCAGAAAGCCAATACCTTTTTAAATACATTTACACAGCAATAAATAAAAGCGGTCTCAGTTTACCTCTTTATTAAACTCTATTTGCGAGTCAGAGTTAAGGGCCGCATTTGTGTCTTGCTATTCAAATTTATTCGTGCGCGTCTCCTCGGCTGGCCACATTTATTCCATCACGCAATAATGGTGGCTGAAGCTTAAGAGGGCCTTTCATCACCAGCCGCCCTCATTAAGGGCTCTGCTCCAGGCTCCTGGGCTCCATTTAGCCACCATGAAGACCACCCCCATTATCCAGAGGGGAAAATGAAGGCAGAGAACTAGCACACACGCCTTCGTTAGTTTGGCTCGGCAACCAGCTGGCCGATGACCAGAAGCTGGTGAGATCAGTGCCCCCCAAATGCTGGCCCAGAGACAGGGTCCCCTAAAGGTACTGGTGAGTCCTTCCCTTCCCCCGCCCACAGAGTTGGAGGATCATAAGAGATTAGCACAGTCAGTGCTCCGAGAAAGCATGGAAACCGTTCTAGCTGATCTTGACCTTGAGCATTCACTCTCTGTCAACACCAGCCTGTTTCAGGGAACCAACAGTCTGTGTACAGGTCTGGAGGATGTGCAGGGTTTGAAGTTCTGCTTTGCAGTACCTTACTGCTCCCACCACGGGCAATTCTTATCTCCATAGCACCCCAAAGCATTCAGTCACCCTCCTTGGGCCTCCCCAGCAGGGGTTCTTCATCCTCAAGAATCCTGGACTCTCTGGAAACAACTCCCATGGACGTGCAGCCCCACGGCGTGCCCCAACCCCTGCCCCAAAGCTTGTGGGATGTTCCACCCTTCTGATATCTGTGCCCAGAGGCCAAGGCAAGTGGGCAGCCAGGTGCTGGCTTGTTGGGGTCAGAAGACAGAAGATGGGGAGGACTCCCTGGGCAGGTAATAACCACAAGGTTTTGTAACAGCAGAATGGGAAGAGCCCTGGGAGGGGGGCTGGATGCCCAGACCTGGCCTTCCGTCATTTTCCATTCCATTCCCCCATCCCACTACGGACTGAAGACCAGTGGGGTCTGACTTTCCAGAGGTTCACCTGGGAAGATCTTACACTCCTGTGGTCACCACAAAGGCATCCCTGTGCTGAGTACGGGGCATGTGGGAAAGAGGGGCCTCCAGCAGGACAGCAGAGCCCCAAGGCAGAAGAATGATGGTGCCCATTTCCTGAATGAGCAAAATGAGCACAGACAGGCTGGATGCTTTGCCAAAAACCACAGAGCCACAGATCCGTTGCAGAGATCCCCTCCCACCCCTGGTCCTGCTTTCCCTGCAGAAGATGGGTCAGGAGTCACCTGAGCACTCGTGACCTCCAGGACCTGCAGAGGGCTCTTGCCTTGGAGAGTGAGGGGTGCTGTGTACAGGGCGTTGAAGGGCCTCCAAGGTCCCACAGCTCCTTCAGAGCTTCGGTTATACTGCACACTGTAGCCCTACCCACTGGATTTTCTACTGCATCCTGCTCCTATCCTCCCATGCTGCCCCCATAATGTCCCCATGGGCATAGAGGAAGGGAAAATGGTAGGAGGCCAGAAGATGAATCTGGTCCAGGAATTGTGGACCTCTGGGTACAAAGCCTTGGGCAGGTCATTTCCCCTCTTTGGGCCTGTGAATCCATGTCTCCTGCTTCATTCTTTTGTTGTTGTTTTTTGGTTTTTTGAGACTGACCTGGAACTCACTATGTAGACCAGGTTGGTCTCAAACTCACAGTGATCCTCCTGCCTCAGCCTTCTAAGTGCTGGGATTACAGGAGTGCACCACCACTCCCGGCATCTCCTGCTTTATTCTTTGCCTAGGCTGTGATTTCCTTTGAAAGAATGAACTCTAGTGATGGTCTCAGTCCAGCCTTGAATTCTGGCTTGATGACTGACAAGCTGTGTCATGCAGGCAAATTACTCCCAGGGCTAACCCAAGGGAGCCATCTGGCTGAATGTGAAAGAAGGAAGGAGGCTGCCACCAGCACAGGCTCTTTCTCTCTCTCTGCTTCCTGGCACCATGAGGTGGCAGCTTTCTCCTACCATATTCTGTCACTGAGCCAAAGTAAACCTTTCCTCTTTTAGGTTCTGTATGTGAGTGTCTTTGGTTGCGCCGTTGTGCCTGCCTTGATGTCCTGAATCGATTCCAAACATTTACCCTGTGTCGTTACTCTGACTTTGGGGAAGAGCCGGAAGTCTCTCGTTGCCCCACCCATGGACTAAGGTAGATGAAGACACATCATAATGTTTTTACTTTTCCATTGTATGGCATGAAACAGCAGCATTCATCCTATTTTTTTAAATGACAACTTGTAAAGACATTCACGAAAGAAGACTTCCAGAACTGCTTCAGAAATGTCAACAATGATGGGATGAGTGTGTTTGTAGTGGGGGATTAATAGCAATTTGTCTCTTATTGCATTTTTAAAAACTGAAATTCACTGTAGGTTTTGTTCAGCCCTTACATAGCAGGTATTTTTTTTATATAACAACAGGAAAGCTGCCCAATACCTGGGGCTTTGGGGAACACTTGTACAAACCAGAGTAGAAGGGAGCCAGGGTAAGTAGGGAGAGGAGGGCAGCATGCCCAGTGACTGACAGCGGTAGGTCATGCCAGTCATCAAGAGGCCAAGGGTACTGACCACAGGTGCATGGCAAGAGGACCAGGCTGTCCTGGCCAGTCTCTTCCTCCCAACTCAGGGGCAGTAGTTGAACAGATAAGCTTTATGAGCTGGCCATCAAGTACGCTCAATCTCTTCCTTATGCGCTGGAAATCAAAGTACTGACTTGCCCAATTGTCCTTGTAGGCGCAAGTGGTCACAGGGTTGTTTTGGACAATGGAACATAAATTTGAAAGTTTTGTTTCAACTTGCAGGATAGAGGATGGGCTTCTGGAAAAGACTTGGTGAGGGTGAAGGATTTGTCATCTGGGTTGTACTGCTGGCATCGGAGGTACAAGTGTGGATCAGAACTGATCTGGTTGGGCACTCGACTTGGGTGCCATTGGTTGAGTGAGACTTGGCCATTCCTGGGAAGTTGGCTTCCTAGGGAATGGGACTTCCTGGGATGGCCCCATGCCTGCCTCTTCTGTGCTTCATATGCAGGGCTGTCTGCAGCCTGGGTGGCCATCTAATCACCAGCAATTGCAAAGAGGTTAGAAAGGTCACAAGAGTCCTTGGGATATGTTCTCTGAGCTTACCCTGAGGTCACCTTGTAATAGAAGAAAATGAACAACTAGCCATTTGCTTCAATCTCTGTAAGTGAGGCTTTGGGTTCCTTCCTACATATACCCAGGGGCCCAATCAATGTGTGTAATGAATGTAGTAAGGGCTGGATAAAGCAATGGGTGAGGAAAAGGGAGAGATCTCCTTGGGCTGGAGTGACCTGGAAATTTTCTTCCTGGGCCTGACATTATCGATGCTGTGGAAGCAAGAGTAAGATTTGCCTAGGAAGGGAAGGTGCAGTAAGAGGTTGGAAGCTGCGGGGACCACAGAAGCCAAAGAACAGGAAAGGAGAGCAGCGTGACATGTCCTCCAGGTAAACCCACCTCCCTGGTAGTGTAGGCTTCACACACTCCCCGTATTGTGGTGAATAAGCCACCCCATATTTTTCTTTCTTCCCCATTATTTTGTTTTCAGGGGCATAACATTATAGCAGACAAGTAGCAATCTATCTCTTGCTTCCAGAGAAGATCCCAGTAACAGACTCAAACAGAGCTCCTCCAAGAAACAGGGGAGGCTGATTTGCTCTGCGTAGAAACTCACAAGATTTTCTTCCCCTGAAATTGCAGTTCATTATTGTCTGGAAACCCTCAAAGATAACTTCTGCTTCAACCCAAGAGGCAAGGCACAGAGCAGAGTCCACAGGTGCCTTTGAGATGGGCTGGGAGCTTTTGGCCTGCCAGGATCCCTGACAGGCAACCCCCAAAGCCCTACATACAAAGAGGGGCTCCCTAGGCCTGAGTGTGAACGTACAAAACCTATCATGCAGAAACCAAGATGTTATAACTCCCCAAACCGAGGACTCTTTTCAAACAGCAGATTCCCACAGGTCCCCACTATTGACTTAGATGATTCTCCTGGAATGTTAGTTACATTTTTACAAAGCTAGGAATAAACTTACTCTGCTTATAGTTTACATAAGATGGGGAACACAAACATCATCACAGATTTAAAAACAAGATCTAGAAATTGCAAATATGAATTAACATCAGCTCAATGCTGCTTTATTCTGTGCCCAGCTATACACCAGCGCCCTGCAAATAGAATGATTCCCATCTGTACAGGGCAATCTGGGAGTTTTTCCTGGTCCTCTTCCTGCAACAGCAGGAAGAGACGATTTCCCACCATTTCTGTCCACTAGAACCTGTTCAGTGTCCATTCACATGGATGCCACAGTGCCGTCTGGGCCTGCCTCTGTCCATCACTGGGCCGCAGGTCATATGGTACCAGCAAGACATCTGGCTATGTGAGGGACACTTTGGTCTCGATTCATAGTTCTCAGCCTTAGCTCACACTGCAGTCTCTCAGGCAGGCTATTGGATTATCCATGCTCAGGCCACACCTCAGACATAGGAAGTCACCAGGCTTTAACTGTTCCCTTGGCGTGCCAATGTGCAGCCGCATTGAGGACCAGCCATCTTGACCAGCTTCTCAACCTTGAGCTCTTGTCCCAGGCACCTGGTAAATGTGTGAAAACCCTGAGCACCGGGCCCCATCCTCTGAGTCCCTGATTCTGCAGGGGCCTGGAGTGGGCTAAGTAACTGGCGTTGGTCACAGGTTCCTGGAAGCCACAGGTTTGGGGACCCTTTTTTAGAACCAATAGTTTCAGTGATCTGAACACACTTGTTGTAGATTAGGGTAGAAATTAAATTATTTGCATCAAGAACTCACTGATTTCAAAGCAAGAAGCTGAGGACCTCAGAAGACCATGGCTGACTTTGCAATTCAGATGTTCAGTGTGACTGAGGAAGGGGGAAAGGAGATGGGAATTATTTTAATACCTACAAGAGAAGGTCGCTAAGAGAAGGA